TCTCTCTCTCTCTCTCTGTTCTGGGGCCGGCTCCTTCAGCCCTCAAGCTGGACTTAGAGGAGAAGCTGTTTGGGCAACATCTGGCCACAGAGGTGATCCTCAAAGCCCTGGCTGGCTTCCGGAACAACAAAAATCCCAAGAAACCGCTGAGCCTTTCTTTGCACGGCTGGGCGGGCACAGGCAAGAATTTTGTCAGCCAAATTGTAACAGAGCATCTTCACTCGAAAGGCTTGAAGAGCAACTTTGTACACCTGTTCGTATCGACTCTGCACTTCCCTCACGAGACGAAGATAAAACTGTACCAGGCAAGCCAATCTCCACTCTCCCTGCTCATGGCTCCTTTGGAGATGCAGGCTACCTGCCCACTAGCCCAGGCCTTCTGTTTCTCCCCTTTGTGTGAGAGTATCCCTAGGTTTAGCCACTCGGATCCCTTGGCCATTGACAAAGCTGGCCCACGAGTGAGTTTCTTTCTCACGATCCAAAATAATACCTGTGGGGTGAATGAGGGGATTTCCATGAAAAGACGGAGCCAGGAACCACAAGGTGACTTGCTCTTTACCATCCTTGTGACCTTGCAGCCCAGCAGAAGCTTGAGCCCAAGCCTCCTTTCTCCCAGTCCCCATCCGTAGCCCGATTCTGTGGAGAATGACCACAGGCCACACTCACATTCCAGCACGCGGTGCTAAGTGGAGAGGCCTTCAACAAGCTGCAGGGACGCCGTTTCACCTAATTTTCAGCACTTCTGATGTAGCCCCGGCTTTGCCCCGGCACTTAGCAGTGCAGACGGAAGGATTGGTACCCTCGGTTTGTGACCGGCAGCTGAGGTTGAGGTTGGTGGCTGAAACCTACCCGGCGCACCTCAGAAGAAAGGCCTGGCAAGCTGTGGCTGTAATGATGGCAGTGAAAAGGCTGTTCTCACAGTCGCCCTACTCTAGCACATAGGTCGCTATGACTTGGAGAACTGACGGAACCCAGGCTCGCTGCCATCAAGTTGCTGAATCATAGTGGCCCTGGAGGACAGGGTAGAACTGCCCCTGTGAGTTTCCGAGTCTGTAACTCTTGATGGGTAGAAAGTCCCTTCAGTCTCCCTCGGAGCGACTGGTGGTTTTGAACTGCTGGTCTTGCCGTTAGCAGCCCAGCGTGAAATCACTATGCCACCGGGGCGCCTAGTAAACGGGACCAGGCTTGTTTCTTAAAATAGATTTCATTCACTTTGCTTCTCCCATCTTTCAATGCTTCGGCACAGGTTTCTGCCTTCCAAAGAAAGCCCCCCAGAATTGAGCCTTGAGACGTCTTGTCTCGCCTTTTGAGACATTTGCTCCTCTGTTCAGAGCAGGTTGTCTGGTGTGGTTAGTGTCCTGGGAACCGGGGTGAGGGTTGTCCTCATAAAGGCTCGCACGCTCGCAGTTCTTGGGGCTTGAAGTGGGAAACAGAAACTGGACTGAAGAAGGAAGTAGAGATGGTCGGCTGACGCTTACACTCGGAAGACGAGGAAGCTTGCCCCAAAGAAAATGCTTTTTCTTCCTTTCCAAACTCTGTTAGATCTCCAGAAATAGAATAAGAAGTAGGCCAGGGGGCCTCTGGCAGGGTTTCATGGTCACCACCTTTCTCCGGTGGGGGTGGGGAGGGGACTTGGCGCTTGGATGTCCATCTGTTTCAAGCAAGCACCAGAAAGGCCACCGGGGCTTGGGCTCTGTGTGGGTCTTTGGGGTGGTGCAAAACTGACTCCAGATTTCCCGTCACTGTCAGCTGAATATGGTGATGAGTCTTTTATCCCACACCTTTCCTACCTTCTGTGAAGCACAGCCTGCCACGGGTGTTAGAACGTAGAAACCGTCCTGACATCTGATCCTGTCTCTCTTCCACTTCCCATTTTGGATAGGGAAGGTTTGGGAATAGCTGTTCCTCTAAGAATGGAGGATAGGGGGCTCCCGAGAGCTCTGATTGCTCCTCTTGCCGAGCATGCGCCATGGGGCTGCACCTTTGAGCTTCAGCCTCCCTCTCTCCTTTCATGGCCCTGCCAGGACCAGTTGCAGAAGTGGATCCGGGGTAACGTGACCGCATGCGCCAGTTCTGTTTTCATATTTGACGAGATGGATAAATTGCACCCCGGGCTCATCGATGCCATCAAGCCGTTTCTGGACTACTACGAGCAGATCGACGGGGTGTCCTACCGGAAGGCCATCTTCATCTTCCTCAGGTCAGCAAGGGGGGCTGGCGCATCCTGACCCTCCCCCCAAAGCTGGAAAGAGCTCCTGGCAAGGGCTAGCTTTTAGGTCCCAAGGACAGAAGACGCCAGTCTGGCACCTGTGCCTTTCCTGTGAGACTGCGAGCTAGGGTCTGCGTGGAGCAGAGTGTGAGTAGGGGAACAGAAACATCAACGAAATCATCACTGACCAGCGATTTCTCTCACTGTGCTGACCACCATCCGTGTTATATTCCGAGAGGGGGGACCTGGGTGGGGGTGAGAGGGGGGAACTACGGGAGTGGGGGTTAAGCTCCTTGAGAGCAAACACTATTCTTTTCTTCCTTCCACAGCGCTCAGTAAGTCTTCCTTGCTTGAGAGTTGACCAGGGGCAGGGAGGCGTATCCTCTCACCGAGCCGAAGTCTGACTG